GGGAAGGGAGGTACATCATGAATTATTTTATTTTTCTGGATGAAATTCTACATAACATATTTGCTCTGAGGTTGGAGGGAAAGTACACAATGTTTGAGTTGACAACTATGAGGAAATTTGTTACGATCGAGTATAACATATGCGCGATTTTAAGCTCCATGAAAACAATCGCAATCAATTGAATTCACCCCGAGGGGGAATTCTCAGCGTTTCCTTCTCTCGAGTGTAAATCACCCACATCTCTCAGCCCTCCTTTGGCAAAGAGGAACGAAAGTAAATCTATAACAGAAGGGGAGAATCTACTCCCGTCATGTATTGGCTTCTTTTTTTTTGAAAAGAAGGGACACCTTGACGACATTCTTTATTATTAAAGAATCAGTTTATTGACCACTCATGACAGTCATCACAAGTGAAAACTGCAAAAGAAAAAAGAAACAATACATTATAATCTAACTTGAAGATATTCCTCCATACAGAATTGAGAGCGAGCGACAGAGAGGACGAGAGAGAGAGGACGAGAGAGAGAGGACGAGAGAGAGAGGACGAGAGAGAGGACGGAGGGAGAGGACGAGGGAGAGAACGGAGGGAGAGGACGAGAGAGAGAGTGAGAGAGAGGACGAGAGAGAGAGTGAGAGAGAGGACAAGTGAGAGAGAGAGGACGAGAGAGAGAGGACGAGAGAGAGAGAGGACGAGAGAGAGAGAGGAGAGAGAGGTCGAGAGAGAGAGAGAGAGAGAGAGAGAGAGAGAGATATGATACATACTAACAGGCAACATTGTAGAGTCGCTATTTCAATTTTGCACACTATCTGATAACTCAAAGTAACGTAGTGATTCGTCATTTTCGCAACATAAAGAGACACTTCCGCTCCGCCATTCATCCGTCTATTGCCGTGTCTTCTGCAACAGCATGCAAGCGTTGGGGCGGCAAAGCCAGGATCCGCGAGCCATTCTCACAACTCAACATTCGCTTACACTGGCACATGGAATTATATGCCATGGTGGTATGCATAAATTAAACGAGTCAACTTAGTGTTAGATTAACACGTTCGGCAACTTTTCTCACAATCTATATTTTTTTGGAGGGGGAAGTCCCCACCTTAGAGTCCATCAGGAGCATCCACTACTGCATCCAAGTGGATTGTACAAATCCTGAAGGAGTTAGGCTACTTACCTTACCTTCCAGAAATGATGGCGATTTAAAGCAACTACGGAATATTCACTTCTCTTAGAGGGGTTGCGAGTGCGAATTACATAGACAAGAATGTTCTTTAGGTATAGCTCGCGTGTTGTGTTGTGTTACGTTACGCTACCTGCCGGGAATACCGCATGGATGGCACTACTAGGCAATATCTAGTGCAGACCCCGTGAAATATTGATCGACGTTTGTACAACATGCTTCGGAACCCGGGTCAGAACAAGGTAATTACAACTCAACCAGTTAAATCACATCGTAATTTGCCTGGGAAGTAAGCTTCCTGAATTAACTTTCATAAAAAATAAAGGTGGCGATTGATATGACCTGTTGTGGACACGTTTCCAAGGAGATCTTGGAATAATTATCGCAATATATTATATGTTTCCAGTGGTCGAGGCGAGGCGGTGCGGCGCGTACCTTGGTCGGAGTCGTCGTCGGTGAGGACTGCGGTCCGCGGCG